AGCCACAGCCTCCCCTTCCGCCCCGCCCCCCCTTCCCTTCTGGCCTCCCTTTCCGGCATCCCCTTCCCTTCCAGCCTCCCTTCCCTTCCGGCATCCGAGGCAGCCGGGGCAGAGGCAGAGCCTTCCTCCCTCCCAGTGCTCTGCCTCTACCTGTACACTCACTTCCTTCTTAAGTCCATAAGACTCAAACAAAGACTCCAGTGCCATGGGCAGTGCCCCATTCCCCAGGGTTCATTCTCCCCCTGTCTGGGTCACCCCAAAGCCCAACCTCCAAATACCTATACTGGCCCGCTGGGCTCTGGCTTGGACAGGCCCGGGATGCTGTCCCCTGCTCTCTTTCAGTGCTCTCAGCTGTTTCTCCTGGGCTGACTGTTCTCTACCGCTTCAGTACCCCTGAGCACTGCTCCCCCAAAACACCCCAAAATCCTGCGAGTGTAAGTAATACCAGTTCTCTCAAGTAACTGAACCAGACGGCGTCCTTGCTTCCTCAAACCAACACCAACGTCCTATGGTGGCTGTGACTCAGGATTCACAGACACCTTCACGTGTCACCTGTCCTTATAGGGCTTCAGCCAGGTCATCAGTGACGCTGGAACCAACAGCAACAAATAAGTGATACAATCAGAGGCAATACCATGCGGTTCAATTACAAAATTGCTAAAACACCTCATCCAACCCCAAACCTTCTGAGCCAGGCACGCCCTGATCAGCATCTGCACCATGACATCGGCGGAGCCAGCAATACCTACAGCAAATCTTTTCTACAAGTCATGAACTGCTCGGCCCAGAGTCCATCTACATGGCTCTCAGCAGGACGAATGTCCTGGGAAGGTCAAAAAGTTTCCTCTTGGGAGCCAAAACCATTGCTCGTAGAATGCCCCAGAACTCTGCTCTCACTCACTAGTCCGGTGACCAGAAAAGTCTCTCCTTCAAATTGCTTTTGCTTCTCCAAACATCAAAGTAAGGAAATTCCCCTGCACACAGTCTTGTCTTCCTTCCCCGGCATCTCGGTCTTACCTGTTGCCCGGAGGCCCCCACCTGAGTGACTCGCAGCCCAAAGGAGCTACTCTTCCTGGACCCCCGAGCTGTTCCTGACAAGAGGCAGATGGCGAGGGAGAGAGAGTCTCTAAGTCATGCCTCTCTGTTACATAACGCTAAAAAGCAAAGAACCTGCTAGATCAGCCTTGAAAGCTCTCCTGGAATAAACAGCCACTCAAACCGAGACAGAAAACCATCCACTGATCTTTGACGGCCAGGGTACGGTCATCCTAGTAAACAAAACTTCACACGGAATACTAGGCAACTACAGGTTGGGATAGGTACAGCTCTGAAGAAATGTCTTTCTTTCTTTCTTTCTTTCTTTCTTTCTTTATTTCAGGCAGTCCTCCTCCAGCACCCAATGCCTCCACAGCGCTGGGCTAGGCCAGTGGCCCCATGCCTTATAACCTCATCTAGGCCATGTTGCTGGCAGAAATCCTTAGTGCTTCTCACCTAGCTCTAGTTTACCCCTTTTCAGTATAAGAAATATTGAATTGTGGTTAAATGGGGTCATACAATGGGCTCTGGCAGAATCAGCCCAAGTTCAGGTCAAGGAACTGTGACAGCAGAGCCTCCCCAGAGCCCCCACCAGCACTGCAGTGCTCCCGAAGCCCACGTCCAGGGCGGCACTTCCATCAGGGTGCGATCCTGAGTGACCACGCACAGCAGGGCCAGAAGACAGCGGCCCTGACGGCAGAGATTGGGCGACGCCTGGTTTCTGCAGCAGAAGCTCATCTACCTGGCTCACGTCTATTCCAAGAAATCTGCCAAAGTCCCCAGCTCCTCCCACTCTGCCCTCTGAATCAGATAAAACAAAGAACGCAGAGTGAGTTTCCAGAGTCCAGCACAGCTGGGGCTAGCAGGAGACAAGGCCGCTCCCAGGAGCTCTGCAAACAGATGCACGAACACAACGGGACATGCGGAGAAAGGTGCATCTCTCCACGCGCGTGGAACTCAGGGGAAGTTTCAAGGCCACCAAGGCCAGGTCACGGGCTGACCGCAGGTCTGGCCAGTTACAAAGCAGTGAACCCCTCAGTCTAAGAGGCATCTTAGGGCAGGCTGCAGGTCACAAGCTCCAATACTGCAACTTGTTCCTCACCTGGCTCCCACCAAAGCAAATGTCAATCAGCTCAGGGCCCCAGACACTCCCTGGAGATCTCACACAAGTCCCTGACCCCACCTGCCACACCTCTGTTCCTATCACTGAGTCTCTCAGATACAGGGGCTTGGTAAACAGCTACTGATCGAATCCCAGGAACACTGGGGAAAGCAGGCAGATACCAAAGGCAAAGGTTGGTTTAATAACCTCCAGACCTCCTCCGCGTACCGCAGACATCTGGGGGCGGGGACTCTCCACCTTGGGGGGGAAAAAAATGAAACCTCCATCCAATGCTCTATTATGATTTATTACCATAGACAACCCAGCGCAAGGTAACCTAGCACTGTGGCTATCTTTGTTCTTGGACGTGCGTTTACATGTGTAGGCAGCTGTCTTCCCATGTGGAATTTTGCGCATGAGGTATTTATTTTCTATTGAAAAAAAAAACACACACCTTTGTTTCTATTGCATTATAACACACCCTATTATCCCATCACGTGGCTTGTCCTGCTGCAGGAACACAGCACACGCCCAGCATTATTGCTGACATAAAAATTACTTGTCAAAATACATCTATCCCAGCACCAGGACAAATCCCATGTTTGCAAAGCATTGGCCTTTGTCTCCGCTGGAACTAGATAAACTCTCTCCTTCTGGTGAGTCTTGAAGGCTCCAGGTAGAAGAAAGGGCCCGTGCCGCTGACACTCCAGCCCCCTTCCAAAACACAACTAGCCGGGAAAGGCAAATTTTTCCAGTTTTTTTTTTTTCATTTCAATTTTCAAGGGATGGGGGGGGGGGGGAGGCTTGCCCTTCCTGCCAGGGAACTGGAGCTGCAGTGTGAAGGAAGAGTACTCAGCTTGGGGAAAAACCCTAGTCCCTTCCCAGCTCCTGAGTCTCGGGTGCTGCAGAAGCCGGGAGCTCTGAGCTCTTGCCCCCTAGGAGACAAGGCCAAGGTGCTTCCGTAGGCCTGAAGGTTACTCTGTTTCCCGCCCGGCACCATCAGGATAAGCCCAGGACCGGACAAGCTGACACCCAAACAGAACTATCCTTGGAAAGAAGAGCACGGGCCAGGGATTTTGGAAATGAACCAACCACCAGCAGCCGGGTCCAGGGCGGCACAAACAGAAACTTAACTCAAGCTCAGTTTCCTCTCTTCCAGCCCTCTCCCCAACCCGACCCCCTAGAAGCTTCCGGAGGGCACACCCCTGTTGAAGATCTCACAAGCACTAAGGCACCCAAAGCCTGTGGGGGCGACACGACCGCCCCAAGAAGGTCGCCACACTCCACCAATGTCCTTTTTTTGAGCCCCCAGTCACATCGACAGCAACCTCACAGCCAGACCTTCCTGCACACACTAGCCGGGGTTACGCTGAATGAGGATTAGACAGCGGGCATTGTTAGCCAGAGGCCAACCCTGCACGCAGACAGACACACACCACTGTCTCCGGGTTGGTGCTATCCAAATCCCCATCCGAGAAGATCCGCTAGAACTTACACTACCCCCAGGCACGCCCTGCGCCCCAAGACTTCTCCCACGGCAAGGTTTAAAGTCATCTGTGGGTTCTGGCTCTGCCCCTGGAGTTGGGAACCGCTCCCCGCCTGTCCGTCCGTCTCCTTCCGTCCATCCATCCGTCCGTCCGTTCGTTCAGAATCGTTATCCGGGTGCGGATTCACCCTGCCGGCCGGGCCCGTGCCAACGCGGCGGCTGCCCGAATGACCCAGACACACTCCCGGCAGTCGCCTGGATGCGGGAGGGGAGGGGAGGTGGTGGGGGGGGGGGGGTTACCTGAATCTGTCACCGAGTCCCCTTCACCCCCCGTGCGCGCCGTGACATCCAGTGGAAATGGGGCGCGTTTAAGGAGGCGAGAGGCTGACAAGCAGGAAGCACAATTTTGAGCCCGAGCTTTTGTTCAGCCTGCAGTGAGACACACGCAGTCAGGGTTAGATAGGCGCGCAGCGGGGAACCCGCGCGCCCCCGCCAGCGGCGCAGGGGTGCGGGCCGAGCGCGGCGGTTGCAGGTGCGGAGGGCGGGCAGGAGGCGGCGGAGGGGGGCGTAACGCTTCCTAATTGTCTCGTCCGGATAAATATGCTCCCCCACCCCAAAAAAAGACCCACTGCTCCGCAGTCTCCCCCGCCCCCCCCAAGTTCTCCTCGGGTGCTGGAGCTTGGGCGAGCGCCGGTCAGCCCGGGGCCAGAAAGGCGCGGGGGCGCGTGTCCTGGAGCCGAGACGCACACGCCGGCCCGGGGCCCGGCGCGGGGTGCGGGGCGGCGTCCGCGAGCATCCTTCCCCGCGCCTGCCGCGCCGCGGGCCCCCGCTCTGGTCCATTTCCCTCCTCTTTGCCCCACGCCCGCACCCCGGGCCGGGCCCGCCGGCGTCCGGCCGCTCCGGCCGGCTTTTGTCCTGCCGCTGCCCTTTCCATCCCAGGAGCGGGGCGCGCGGGGCCGCACAAAGACCCCCAAGAGCGCGCGCGCCGCGGCGAGGGGTCCCCGGGGCCGCAGAGGGGCGCGCGGGGGGCAACTTCGGCGGGAGCGGGGGACCCCGGCGGAGAGGGGCGCGGGGCGGGGGCGCACGCGGCGCGGGCCCGGGCGGCCAGGGGGCATCCGAGGACTCGGCCGAGGCGCCCGCGGTCTAGTCCAACTCCACCGGCGTTCGGGAAGAGCCCAACTCCCGCGGCCACCTCCCCGGTGGCCTTCCCCGGGCCCCCCGCGCCCCCCGATCCGCCGGGCGGGCAGCTCCCCGTTTCCCGCCCCCACCCCTCCGGGTCCGGGTGCGGCGCGGGCATCCCCCCCACCACCACCCACTTCGCGCCCGTCTCCCCGCCGTCCCCCGGCCCCGGGCGCAGAGAAACAAACCGAAACTCACCGACCTCGGGCGGCGGGCTCTGCGCTGCTTACAGCATCGCTGGAGCGGGGGTGGTCCCGGCTGCCCCCGGCCACCGCGGCCACACAGCGGCGGGCGCGCGGCTCCCGGCGTTCAGTGTCACCGCCCAGACCACGGCACCGAACCCGACTGAGCCACCGAGGGGGCGGGAGGCCGAGTCCCCGCCGCGCCGCCCCGCCTTCCCCGAGGCTCCACCCCGCGCTGCCCCCGGGCCGGCCGAGCGGTCAGTCGGCGGGAGAAGCTGCCCACCCGCCCGCGTGCGCGCGCGCGCGTCCCGGGCCTCCGCCCCCGTCCCCCTCAAGTGCCGCTCCCCGGCCGAGCCCGCTACGGGGGTCGTCCCCGCCCCCCACAGCACCCCCCCCCCCCGGCCCCCCTACCCCGCGCGGCGATCAGGTGCGAAACGGGGCGGAGCGCGCGCGCGCTCTGCACGTCGCGACCCCGCCACCCACCGAGCGAGCCGGGATCCCGTCTCCTAGCCTGCCAAGGTCCTGGGGCCGGTCTCCGGAGACACTTTCTAGCTGGCAAGTTCCAGCGGGACCGAGCCCGAGCCGTGGTGGGGGTCCCGCATTGGTGGATGAGAAGATGCGTCCCCGGAGGCCACAAAGGACACCCCCACCAGCTGGGTCCCTGGAAACAGTCGTGTGCAGGAAGAAGGGAGATGCAGACCTGGTGTGCCAACCCTGGTTCTATGCAGGGCTCAGCAGCTTAAACCTAACTTGTGTGAGGACCATGCACAGCGTGACTCGTTCTGCCGAGAAAATCCCAAGTCTTGCTCTCTCAGCACTTTGGTCAGTAGAGAGCTTCTCTGGTGACATACCTCCACCCACCACCCCACCCCACCCTTTTTCTTTTCTTTTCTTTTCTTTTCTTTTTTTTTTTTTTTGCAGTGGGTGTTAGGGATCCAACCCAGGACCTCATACATGCAAGGCATGATATCAACCCCCAAACCATATCCACAGCCTGCAGATGCCTCGTAAGCGGGTTTCTGTGCAAAATGAAAACCCAAAACTCCATTTATTTTCTTGCTTTTTGGGTCACACCTGGTGATGCACAGGGCTTACTCCCGGCAGTGCTCAGGGGAGGATACAGGATTCTGGGACTCCACCCTGGTCTGTGGGTGTGCAAAGCAAACACCCTACCCGGGTGCTATCTCTCCAGCACAAGACCCAAAGCTCTTCAATCTCTGAGCCTGGTTAAACACCAGGTTTCCTGGATCTCCAACACGCTGGTTCAAGTGCATGTTCCCTAAATTACTCATCTGAGCTCCCGGCCTCTTGGGACGTGTTAGCTGCTGACCCGTCTTCTTGACCTCCAGAGAGAACTTGTTACAACTTCTCTCACCAGCTCCTTGAAGGGCTTCTGCCAAGATGATGTCAAGAGAACTCAAAGGCCAGTAGGGACCCTGAGTCACCAAAACTAAATTCAAGAAGCACTCAACTGACCCTCCTTGTCTTCTTCCACAAGGGAAACCTGTGTGTAGTGTTTGCAAAGGAACTGTCAAGGATCGCATGGAGAAACCGGCCCCCAGGAGACCACTAAAGTTTGCACGTGACAGATCTCTTTTGAATTCCAGTTAAAGCGTTCGCCAGGCTAACCCAGGCCCTTCCAAGTCACATCTGCTGGTGCTCATCTGTCATGAGAGGTGTGTTTAAAGGCTTCTTGGACAGCTTCGAGAGTCTTTATTTCCAGGGCTAACCTTGCAGCAGGAAAGGAAAATATTTTCTCTATCGAAGCTGATGGAAATTTCGAAAGAACCAAGATTGACCAGGAGCTTGGGGAGGGCAGTGAGTTCTAACACCCCAAGGTTTTACTAGGAAACTTTAGCCTAGAATTATTATGATTATACACGGGTGACTTTAAAGACTACTTTTAAGAAGCTAATTTCAGGGATCAGTAATTATTCCAAAATGTTTCAACTTTTTTTTTTTTTAGTTGCTTTCAAAGCAATTCTTGGGGAGGATTGAAGCTTTGCACTTGGTGTGGGGTAAGCACTTCCACCCTTAGTCATTCATTTCCCCTGGCTGGTATTTTAATTCGCATCACATCATGGGTGTTCCGCCTTCTGTCCAGTCTTGTAAGGCTGTCACACAGAGAAGGCTAATTAACCGGGGCAGACTCGGATAGGCCAGTTCTTAAGACAGGTTGGGGGCCAGAACTCAGGGCGGGCAGCAACAGTTTGAGTCAGGGAAGGAACGGGCAAGAACATGTCGGAAGGGGTTCTCCGGGGTTGCAGCTCCGGGAACAAGGCAGCGAGAAGCGGGCAGTACTCGGAGCCTCCTGACCAGGCTGCAGGCCTCGTGGCCACCCTGAGCCCCCACAGCACAGTCCACCTGGTGTCACCGCTCAGGAGCGGGAGGGGATGGGCTCTCTCTCCTGGTAGACGCAGGGTTGTCAGTGTGGGGGGTTGAGCACTGGAGAATTACAGAAGGATGGGGCGATCGGGAATTCATTCAACAAACAGTCCTTGTCTGTGAACTGTGGACCACAAACCTGAATCCTGGGGTCAGGACGGAGGAAACGAACGGAAGGCACAAGTTCCTGCCTTTACAGAGCCCACGTGCCAAAGGAGGAAGGAGAGGATCAACAAGGCAGACAACAAATTGTGCGTTGCAGGGTGAAATAGGGAAGGAGAGAAAGTCAAGTGGGGAAGGGGTTTCTAAGTGCCCATTGGAAGAAGGCTGGCGTTTTTCTCTCCAAGGCCAGGGCAGGCCTCACTGATGCAGGAAATAGGGCAGAAGGAAGGACACCATGCTTGCAGGGAGGGCAAGATAGCCCTTTCTCAGAATGGTCCTGGTACAAATGGAATTGCCCAGGGGCAAAGATCAGGAGACAAGGAGGGGTCAAAAGGTCGAGCAAGGTGCCACTTGGTCTCTGAGCTGCTTCAATCCAGACAAGGATGACTGTCATTCATCTTTGTCCCTGAAGCGTGGAATACAGGTACACAATAAATGTTTATTGAGCCCTAGTCTCAGGGCACCTAAGGGAGGGCTGAGATCCACAGGACCCTGTAATTCCCCAGGCTACCCTTCTACCAGGGATGATGGGTCCTTTCATGGAGGAAGACTATCATCATCTCTCATCTCTCCTATGGTTTATCATAACTGGCTTTCTGATCTTTCAAGGCAGGGGGGGATCTTTTTGTACCTTGAGCACTGAATATACCAAGAAGAATTGGATGATAATCTAGCTGGATAAAGCATTGTGTTTGGATTCCTGTTTCATTCAGTATGTTAGATACGTCATATCATTCCCTTCTAGTCTGTTGGGTTTCATTAGAAAGATCTGCTGTGATTCTTTTTCTTTTTAATGGGTGTTTCCTTTTAGGTGTTTTGTTTGTTTGTTTGTTTGTTGTTGTTTTGTTTTGTTTTTTGCTTTACTCTTGTGGCCCTTGGGATAGTATCTCTCTTTTGGATCTTGCTAGTTTAATTACTATGTGTCTTGGCGTTTTACCGTTTGGGTTCTATTCTGACTGGTATCCTTTGAGCTTCCTGTATTTGGGAGTCTAAGTTGATCTTCAAATTGGGGAAGTTTTTTGACTATCATTATTCTCATCAAAACTTCATCGTCTCTCCAATCTCTCATTCCTGTCTTTTTTTTTTGTCTCTAATTTGTATATTATTTCTCTTCAGTTATCCCTTAGCTATCTGACATTTTTCTTATTTTTTTTCTTTTTGTTATCTTCTTTTGCTCCGTTTGGGTGGGTTCCTGCACCTTGTCTTCTGTCTCACTTATTCATTCCACTGCTTCCATCATTCTGCTACATATTTCTTCGGTTGTATTTTTTTTTTAATGTTCTGCTACCAAGTTCTTCATATCACTGACTTATGACTGAAGTATCCTCATATTTTCTTTTCTTTTGTTTGTATGCTCCTTTACTGTTTTCTTCAGTTCTGTGCTTGGGGTACTTCCATGGAGTCTGGAGCCTTCTGGGGAAGAGCCAGACTCCTCCTTGCAGAGACAAGTAGTAACCAGGAAGGAGAATTAGGCCTCAGGAACAAACCAGGTTCCTAAAGACCTGTAAATCTAAATTCAGATTCACCCACAATAAGGGTGAGTTTTTTACTTCATGTTTTTGATTTCTACATGTCTTGGATCTGAATTCAGATAACTGAGCAGTGCAGAAAATCTACTGAAATTTGACTTCTAGAGTTATAAGTGGATTTAATGGTTTATAAGTTATATCTCAATAAAGGTGATTAGGGCCAACGAGAGAACTTAGAGGGCTGGAGTATGTGGTTTCCCTACATTTTGCCTATGGGTCAATCCTTGACAACACTCGGTCCCCTGAGTACCACAAGAAGAGATCTCCTAGCATGGAGCCGAGTGACTCCTGAGCACTACCAGGTGTGGTCCTAACACCTAAATTAAAGTTGTTTGAAAGCATTGAGGGGGAGTCAGAAAGACAAATCAAAGGTCTATTTTCTATCCCATAGACCCCTGTACCACCTATGGTCCCCCAAACACCACCAGGAATACGAGCACACCAGAAAGAACTCTGTGGTCACTGTAGTACAGGGGTCACTATTGTGCACGGAGCCAGGAACCCCTGGACATCATTGTGTGACCCAAACTCACATTCAAAAAAGAAAAAAAATTGAAGAAAGACCGTTGAGACAGTTTCCACGCATTGCTTTCATAAACCAAAGGGTTGTATATTTCAGCACTAGGGATAGAACCCAGGCTATCACACATGTAGAACAAGTGCTCTATTGGTCCACAGAACTGAATTTTCAGGGGGAGGTTGAAAGGCAGGCAGGTACTTTGGTATTGACTATAGTGTTGGAAGATTGTACACAGAAATCATTAACAATATTGCAAATCACTAATTAAGGAATCAATAAAGATAAAATAATTTTTTTAAAGAAAAAGACAGGTACTCTATGTTAAGCCACAGGCCTGGCAGCAAAGAGACATATTTAACCAACCACATAATCATCCTTTCTAATAGATGTTCAGACTAAATTGATTTTTGTGAAATAATGGAAATATTTCACAAAATAATGGAAATATATTTATAAAGCTATCCCTGCTTCTGTTTCCTATTTGATCCTAAAACCCTTCTAATTTCCCTGTAAGGACATGAGGAACATCTTTGATTCTGTTTGTTCTTTTGCGCAGT